TACCTAAAAAAGGAAGTAGAGAAAAAAAAGGAAGTAGAAGACTGTTCATTTAGACCTTTGTTTGAAATATCAAGTAACTGAAAACAACCTAAATAGCCATTATTTGAGAACTAGTATTTATAATTATAATTTGTAAGTGTAATACTAGGGCTGTCACTCAGTGGTGGAGTGCTTGCCTACTATGCATTAGGCCATGAGTTCAATTCCTACCACAAAAAAAGAGAAATTTATCTCCAAAGCATTATCTAGAACCAGAATTTGGAATATGTGCATTCCTGAAAGAGGCATAGGGAAGCCTGGAGAATTATACAAAAGTCTAGCTAGGATCTATTCAATCTAAATTGTATTTATTTATTTATTGTGTGGATCCTGAGGGTTAAGCCCAGACACTTGTACATGCTAAGTGTATACAGTACCACTGAACTACATCCCAGGCCTCTGAATCTAAATTTTGATTTAAGAACCAAGTTAAACAACAACAACAAAAAAGTATGTGATCTAGGCACAGTGGTGGTGCCTGTAATCCCAGATCTCTATACTGAAGCAGGAGGATCCAGAGTTCAAAGCCAGCTGGAGTACACAGTAAGAACCCAGCTTAAAAATAAAAAAAAAAGTTATATGAGAGTCTGGATATGTTAATGTTAATTAGTTTGATTTAATATATATATATCATGTATACCATAAATATATACAAGTTTTACTTGTCAATTAAAAATAAGTTTAGTGGCTAGGCATGGTGGTACAGGCCTGTAATTCCAGCACTTGGGGATTTGAGGCCTGATCAACATGTCGGATCCTATCTCATCAAATAAATGAGTGGTTTAGCTCAGTGGAAAAGTGCTTGCCTGGCAAGTGTATGGCCCTGAGTTTGGTCCCCACACCAAAAAATAAAAACAAAAACAAGGTGAGTGCTCTACACTGAGCCACATCCCCAGCTCAGCATCTATTTTTTTATGTGAAATTTTATAATGTGGTAGGCTGAATAATAGAAGTTACAGTGAATTAAGGATTTATTTTAATGTTAGAAAAAAATGTCAATGAGTGATTACTAATATTTTAACATTTGTGATCGGTCTCAAGTTGTATGCCTGGAATAATTCTGATGGTCACACTTGAAGAAAACGGAACTTCACATTCAGTGAACAGTTTGATAGAAAAGTAGCATCTTAAATGGGCACAAGTGACTCATTCCTATAATTCTAGTTACTCAGGAGGCTGAGATCAGGAGGATTGTGGTTTGAAGCCAGCCGGGGCAAATAGTTCATGAGACCTTATCTTGAAAATACTCAACTCCTAACAGGGATGGTGGAGTGGCTTAAGTGGTGGAGCTGAGGATTGAATAATGGCTGCTGTACACACTAAGCATAGGATCTACAACTGAGCTACAAGCCCAGCTCCTAATCTGTCATATCTGCTTATATTTCCTGAGAATTAATCTCTATGACTTTTACTGTATTTCCCTTTATTTCTAAGTTTTGGTCTGGGCATACCAAACATGAAATAATACATTTCTTGATATTTGTCTTGGCCTTAACAAAATGGTAAGAAAACACGGATCTAGTTCCCTTCCTCCTCTAAAAGAATCACCCTTCCTTTCCAGAGAACATCCTTGTTCCACTCACCCTCTTCCCTGGAGGTCAAGGTCTCCTACTGAGGTGCTCATCCTAGCCTGACAGCCTTACTCGTCCCCACCCACCCCCTGCCCTAATATGGTGCAAAGTTCAGAATTCTATTTTCTAACACACCACTGCTCACTCCTGGTGTATACTGGGTAATCACACATTATTTCTACCTAAAGTGTAAGCAAGCCCTTTAGCCTACTCTATCATCTCTCTCCCCAACCACTTACTTTTTTGTTGTTGTTAGAAAATGTCTCCCTAGGTAGCCCAGGTTGGACTCAAATTTACCACACCTGCCTGTCAAAAGTTTTTTTTTTTTTTGAAAAAAAAATACTGGGCTGGTGGAGTAGTTCAAGTAGTGGAATGCATGCCTAGCAAGCCTGAGGCCCTGAGTTCAAACCCTAGTACCGGAAAAAAAAAAAGAAAAGAAAAAAATATTGCTAAACTATTTTGTAACCAAAGTACTAGGCCAGAGGTCCAACGCCAGAAGTTCTGCATGTCAGGACTGGTCACTTGCTCCAATGTGCCAAATAAAGAAAGAATAGTGGTGAAGGGCAGAGAAAAGCAGTTTCATTAGAGGACAGGCATGCATGGGCGTGCTCTGTGCCCATATTTGAGGCACAGAAATGACCTTTAGCTTGAAAGAGAGAGAGATTTGGGACAGGGGAGAAAGGCACACAGTCTCAGGCAATGTGTGGCCTGGTTGATCATTGTCTCAGTTCTGCTCTGGGGGGATTCTGAAGAAGTTGTTATTGCTAGCTGAGCAATTGTAATTCTAGCTACTCAGTAGGCAGAGACCAGGAGGATTACGGTTTGAAACCAGCCTGGTAAAAAGCAAGACCCTATCTCAAAAATATGCAACACACAAAAAAAAGGACTGGTGGAATGGTTCAAGAGGTAGAGTGCCTGCCTAGCAAGCCAGAGGCCCTGAATTCAAAACCCAGGATTGAGAAAAAAAAAAAAAAGTTGCTATTGCTATCATCACTTGAAAGGAGCATCTGGTTCCCCTGAGATGATTGCCTCTGCTGCAGGGTATAGTCTTACCTGCCCCCTTCAGGGGATGGTCTGTCCAGTAAGGCTCTGCTGCTCCTTTCCTTGGGAAGAGGGTTTTTGTGTGTGTGTGTGTGTGTGTGTGTGTGTGTGTGTGTGCTGGGATTTGAACTCAGGGCTTCACACTTGCTAGACATACACTCACTGCTTCAGTCACTCCACCAGCCCTGTTTTGTGTTGAGTATTTTTGAGATAGGGTGGTGTAAACCATTTGCCTGGCCTGCCTTCACACCGCAGTCCTCCCAATCTCTGCCTCTTGAGTAGCTAAGATTACAGGTGTGAGCCATCAGTGCCCGGCCTTGGGAAGAGTTTTGATCCCTTGTCATAGAGATGTTATGGATCAGTCCTGTTCTGCCTGGAACCCAAGGTGATTGTAGGAGAGACGCAGTGTAAAGGAAACAGGTGTGAAATGGAGGCAGGGAGGCCAAACTTTTCTCCTGCTTTTAGTTAATTTATGGGCCCAAGTAAGGAGTCAGTGCTTTTCAGCAACAGCAGTTTCTAAGTACCTGTTACAAGTGGAATAACATGTTTTTATTGTGTTATCAAAACAATGACCATATATGTTAATAATGCCTCAAGAGACCTGATAGAAAAAAAAAGAGATCAACATTTGCTGAGAGCTTTGTATATAACACTGTATGAAGAGAATTACATGCTTTGTTTTTGTTTTAGTTTTTGGTGGGACTGGGGTTTGAACTCAGGGTTTCATGCTTGCAAAGCCGACTTCAGCCACACTTCTTGCCAGTCCATTTTGCTCTGGTCATTTTGGAGATGGGCTCTTGCAAACTATTTGCCTGGGCTGGCCCTGAATTGCAATCCACCGACCTCAGCCTCCCAAGTAGCTAGTATTACAGGCGTGAGCCACGACACCAAGCTGTTTGCTTGATTTTTCTGTTAGGGTCTCACAATGTAGCACAATCTGGCCTCAAACTCTCTATTGTCCTTCTTTTGCCTCCTGATGCTGGCATTACAGGTATGCACCACCACACCTGGCAATATACTGTATTTGTTAAAATACATGTCTTCACAAAATTAAATGCAATGTCTGAACCTTGATCTCATGCTGGTGCTGGAAAAAAACAAAAAAAAGCAGTGAGCGGAGCAGGTGGTACACATTAGTAGCCTCAGCTATCCAGGAGGTTGAGGCAAGAGGATCACTTGAGCTCAGGATTTCAAGAGTCCAGCCTGGTAGTGTACACAGACCTTGTCTCTTAAAAAAATTAAAAAAAAAAAAGTGTGTGGCCAGATGCTGGTGGCTCATGCCTGTAATCCTAGCTAGTCAGGAGGCAGAGATCAGGAGGATCAAGGTTTGAAGTCCACCCAGGTTCAAAAGACCCTATCTCAAAAAAACCTTTCACAAAAAAGGGCTGGTGGAGGCTGGGGGAATGGCTCAAGCAGTAGAGCACCTGCCCAGCAAGCGTGAGACCCTGAGTTCAAACCCCAGTGCCACTAAATTATAATAATAAAACAAAATAAAAATTTTTTTAACAAAGGGCTGGTGGAGTGGCTCAAGATATAGACCCGAGTTCAAACCCCCATATGAGGGGGAAAAAAGTGTGTGAATACACACACAATTGTGGCTCATGGCATATTAACTAATAAATCAATGTGAAAGGTAAGGGATTTCATTGTACTAATCTTTCAACATTTCTTTAGGTTTGACAAATTTCAAAATAAAATGTTGAGGGGAAATGTATGTCCACACGGCTCTTGAGAAATAATTCACAGAATCTCAGGACTGAGACTTTAAGATTTCATGGAGTCTTACACAATTTTTTTTGAGGCAGGATGTCATTATTGCCCAGGCTGGCCAAGGGGGGCTCTGCCTCCCGAGTTAGGGGCCAACAGATGGGTACAGGCTGTTCAAAAAAAAGAAAGAAAGAAACAAAGAAAAGAAAAGAAAAGGAAAAAGAAACCAAAGCCCTAAAAGTTAGGAACTGCTTTGTTTTCGGTTGGTGAAATCTGTCCTGGGGCAGCAGGATTTCATCGGTGGTTCTACAGTAAATAAAAGCTACGCAGGTCAGGAAAAAGTTAATGCTTTAAACACAAGTGGGTGGCGGCCGAGACTGGTTCAACTGCTGGACGAGCACCGCATCCTGCAGCGCCCAAGCCTGTCGCCAAGTGCAGAGCAGATGGCCGCCGCGAGACTCCCCACGCACCAGCCCGCCGGGCCGGCTGCGGCCCAAGGCCCGAGTCTCCAGGACGAGGCACGCCCCTCCCACCGCCCCGGCCAATAGGCAGTGAGGAGGCGTGGCCTGGGCGGCCGGGGGCGGGGCGGGGGCCGGAGTGGGTGTGTCCGGGGCGGGGGCCGGCGGTCTCAGAGGTGGCGACTTTCGTGGGCTCGCGGCGCTCCGGCGCAGGTGGAGAGGTCAGGCTGGCGGGGACTCCAGCGCCCGGCAATGGCGGCGGGGAGCAGGATGGAGGACGTGAGTGCGCGGAGGCAGCGGGCGGCTGTCTCCGCAGTCCCTTCTTTCTGTGCCGGAGCACTCGGGGGTTGGGGAAGCCACCCCGAGCCGCCGCGGCCGGAGGGGGCGCCGCCCGTGCGCAGGGTTGTGGGAGAGGACCCGGCGGCCGCGGGGCCCGCCGCTCGCCCAGTTTGGGCGCGTTTTCCAGCGTGGAGGTCGGGGTTGGGGGTTCCAGGCCGGCGCCAGCCCACGTGCCGCGCGCGTCTTTGGTCCCGGAACTGGAGCCTCACGTGACGCGGGCCCCGCCCCAGAGCCCTTCCTCCAGGTCCGGGCGCGCGCGGCCGCGGACTCGGCCCCGAAGTCCCGCGGGCCCCCGTCCCTCATCCGGGGCCTCCTGCAGAGGTGTGCGGGGCGGCGGACCTGCGCTGGCTGCGGTGCTCCCCAGCGGCCCTGCTGTCATCGCCCAGGAACCCAGATTGGAGCGCGTCCGTGTCTTGTGTTGTTTTGAAGCATGCTAGGAATGAGGGCGTTTTCAGTCCTCCTTGGATCCACATTAGAGTACTGAGAAACCCAGCGCCCCAGTTTACACTGTCGACAGCACAGGATGATAGCATCACTACAGAAATCTTAATGTCTTCCCTTACCTCTTTTAAGACAATTTTAGAGCAAGTCTTGTGCTGAAAATTAACTGGGTTTCTCACTGGCACGTAAGAAATTTCTTGACCCTTGAGAAGTGCAAAGGTCACAGTCACCTTAAAAAGCAAGCTCCAGCACTACAAGAGTTTAGATTTTGATGAAAAATATTGACCATAGTTGCCAGGCACTGGTGGCTCATGCCTGTAATCCTGGCTACTTAGGAGACAGAGATCAGGAGGTCCGAGGTTCAAAGCCAGCCCTGGGCAAATAGTGCTGGAGACCCTATCTGGGAAAAAACCCAACACAAAAAAGGACTAGTGGAATGGCTCAAGCGGTAAGAGCACCTGCCTAGCAAATGTGAGGCTCTGAGTTCAAATGCCAGTGCCAAAAAAAAAAAATAGTGACTGTAATTTTATTTTTCTTTTTTGGGTGCTGGGGATCCAATCCAGGGCCTCGGGTGTCCCAGGCAAATGCGCTACCACTGAGCTAACTCCCAGCTCTTGATTTGTGAGACAAATCTTATGTAGCTCAGACTGGTCTTGGAACTCACGATGTAACCCAGCCTGGCCTGGTTCTATCCTCCAGCCTCTGTTCTGGAGTGTTGGGATTACAGCTGTGAGTGACCACATCCAGTTAAGTAATCTTGATGAAGTAAATAATTTCTAATCATAAGACTAAAAATTCTTAATTTTTTTCAATGGAGAAAATGGAAAACTAATTAATTGTAATACCTCAAAGTATATTTGAGCCTTGTATATATTTAAAGAAAAACCTGCTGTTTCTGAATTTTTAAGAATGTGATTCATGGGGCTGGGGCTTGACTCAAGTGGTAGAACCAAGTGTGAGGCCAAGAATTCAAACCCCAGTACCGCCAAAAAAAAAAATAGAAGAAGAATGTGATTCATGAACTGGCAAATTATGGAATAAAATACCAGGGAAGAAAATGAGAGCCTTGTAAAAGCACATGTAATAAGTGTTTCTTAGTTAGTGCTGAGCTATCCCCAGAGTGCTTAGGTCTGTAGCTTTTAGTTTTAGGCGTACAATCCTAGAAATCTCTTTCGTCACACAGTAATGCTTCACCAGCAGTTACATAGCTAAGTTACAATAGATCTGAGTAAGATGCCTGCTTTTTCTAAATTTTTTAAGTTGATAATTGTATTTTATTCTCATTTTTTTTTTTTTTTGTGGTACTGGGATTTGAACGCAGGGCTTCACATTTCCTAGACTGGCACTCAGACACTTGAGCCAATCTGCCAGCCCTGTTCTTGCTTTTTGAAGAGTTGATTTCTTTTTTTATTATTATTATAATTACAAATTTTCTATTAGGATATATTCATTACACAGGGGGGATTCGTAGTGACATTTCCAGTTAGACTTATAGTGTACATTATTTACATTGCCCCCATCATCTCTCCCTCTCAGCTCCCTCCCCACCCCACTTAAAGCACTCACAAGAGGTTTTGTAGTTCCATTTCATATAGGTATGTGAAGTCCATCAACCACACACCATCACCCCAGTCTCCTTCCTTCACCCTACCCCTCCCACCAGCACCCCAGTTTTACAGTCCTGATCTTTGCCATTAATAGCTAAGTTGTTTTATGCAGCCATGAAGAAGAACGAAATGTTATCATTAGCTGGTAAATGGATGGAATTGGAAAACATCATTCTGAGTGAGGTTAGCCTGGCCCAAAAGACCAAAAATCGTGTGTTCTCCCTCATATGAGGACATTAGATCAAGGGCAAACACAACAAGGGGATTGGACTTTGAGCACATGATAAAAGCGAGAGCACACAAGGGAGGGGTGAGGATAGGTAAGACACCTAAAAAACTAGCTAGCATTTGTTGTCCTTAACGCAGAGAAACTAAAGCAGATACCTTAAAAGCAACTGAGGCCAACAGGAGAAGGGGACCAGGAACTAGAGAAAAGGTTAGATCAAAAAGAATTAACCTAGAGAAGGTAGCACACATGCACAGGAAATTAATGTGAGTCAACTCCCTGTATAGCTATCCTTATCTCAACTAGCAAAAACACTTGTTCCTTCCTATTATTGCTTATACTCTCTCTTCAACAAAATTAGAGATAAGAGCAAAATACTTTCTGCCGGTTATCGAGGGGGTGTGGGGGAGAGGGAGGGGGCAGAGAGGGTGGTAAGGGAGGGGGTGGGGGCAGGGGGAGAAATGACCCAAGCGTTGTGTGCACATATGAATAATAAAACAATAAAAAAAAAGGAAAAAAAATAGCTAAGTTGTTCAAAGGGTTGTCTCAATGCATGCCCACTGTGGGTGAGCTTTACCTTGGTCCATTCAGTCCCCTCAAACATTGTCCCTTACCCTTTTACCTCCCACCCCCCCACCTTTCAGTAGTTTTCAGTACACATCCTCATATCCTCTACTTTCACATCTTATGTTTTGTGATATTACTGATGATCTAACATTTTCTTTTCCTTTCCCTCCTTCCCTGAGTCCCACAAAGTAGTTCCACTGTTACAAACATGTTCTACATCTGGGTTTGTATATGATCATGCTTGTCTTGTGTATATGTCTATCTTTGGATCTGTCTTCTACGTATGAGAGAAAACACATGTCTTTTTGTCTTTCTGATCCTGACTAACTTCACTTAACATGATGTCCTCCAATTGCATCCATTTACCTTCAAACGCCATGTCATTATTTCTTGTGGCTGAGTAATACTCCATTGTGAATATATACCGTAATTTCATGATCCATTCATCAGTTGTAGGGCACCTGGGTTGTTTCCAGAGCTTGGCTATTGTGAATAGTGCTGCGATGAACATTGGTGTACAGATGTCTCTACTGTATCCTGTCTTACGTTCTTTTGGGTAGATGCCCTGGAGTGCTATCACTGGATCAGATGGCAGTTCTGCTCTAGTTTTTTGAGGAATCTCCATACTGTTTTCCATAGTGGTTGTACTATATTTTGCATTGCCACTAGCAATGTATAAGGGTTCCTGTTTCCCACATCCTCACCAGAATTTGTTGTTGTTAGATTATGGCCATTCTAACTGGGGTGAGATGGAATCTAAGTGTTGTTTTGATTTGCATCTCTTTTATAGCCAGGGAAGTTGAACACTTGATGTATTTACTGGCCATTTGTACCTTGAAGAGTTGGTTTCTGGCATTCATGGTAAAGCTGAGATTATGGGCTGTGGGATAGGCTCAGACACTTAAATGAGCTAAGAGTCAAAGACTGTAAGTTAGGGTTCATTGTTTGCAGTAAACTAGTGGCAGATTGTAAAGCCAGGATTTATTTAAAAGGATACAAGGTGAATGAACATCACGGCCCCTAAAGAGACCCAAACAAGGGGAGCTGTTCCTCAGATCAGAGGAAGGTGAAGAATATTAAAAGAGATTCCCACTAAGGCTTAATGCAGACATAGACAGTAGGTCCCCAAAGGAAACAGTTACTGTCACAAAAGAAGAGATAAGAGATAGTATGTAGTAACAATTCAGTTATTAATAGTGGAAGTGAAGAAATCATTTGGGGGCTGGAGGTGTAGCTCAGAGGAAGGCACTTACCTCACATGCTTTTAGGTCCTGGGTTTTATCCTCAACACTGCAAAAAAGAAAAAAATAGCAGGCTTACAAGAAGACAGGAAAATAATGACCTATAATTAGTCAACTGACATAGTTAGAAATGACACCAGCTAGAAATAGCAAGCAAAGACAAAGTAAAGCTGTTTCTATATGTTCAAAAGCTTAAACAGACATCGAAGATATAAAGTAGACCCAGCTTCAACTTACAAAGGTGAAAACTACGTCAGATGAAGAGACTGGGAACGCATCACAGAGAAGGTGGTGTCTTGTTATGACAAGCATTTGACAGGTGGGAAGGAAGAAATAGAGGCTGTGTAGAGATTGAAAAGGTTTCCTGACAATTTCCAGAGTTGAGAGACAGCCTATGGATCAGAAAAAAATCTGCCAGTTATTCATCTGATAGGTGTTGGTATCCAGAACATATGAAGAACTCAAAAAAATTAAGCACCAAAAACCCAAATAATCTAATCAATAAATGAGCAAACTGATAAATTGATAATGTGCTATATATACACAATGGAGTGTTACTCAGCCATACAAAGAAAATTATGTCATTTGCACGAAAATTGAGATAATCACATACTCAGAAAGACAAATATTACATGTTTTCTCTTATATATGAAAACTAGATTGAAAAAAAGACATGAAAAAAGAAGGGGGACTATCAGGGAAGAAGAAGGAGAGCAGCAGGAGAGGGAGAAGAGCAGGTAACAGTACAAATATGATCAAAGTATATTACATCATTACATGCATATATGAAAATGTCATAAGGAAGCCCATTATTTTATACGATTAATATACTCTAATTTAGAATTTAAAGAGTTTCCTGATAGAAAGGAACAATGAGCAGTCAGCATCAGGAGGAAAAGAAATGGTGAGAGACAATTTATTTTGGTTTTGGTGGTACTGGTGTTTGAACTTAGGACCGCAAACTTACTAGGCAGGCACTCTACCACTTGAGCCAGTCCATCAGCCCTTTTTTGTGTCAGGGTCTTGCCCTGACTGGCTTCAAACCACAATCCTCCCGATCTCTAGTAAGAACCACTGCCACCTAGTCAAGAGATGATCCCGAAAAGCAGTTGGGGAACAGATCGTACAACACGGCCAGACTAAGAACATGGACTTTGTCCTGAGGAGAGGGGGCAGGCACTGAAGGGTTTTGTGAGGATGTTGACAGCTGTGAGAGAGGTTGCCAAGGCCAGGATGCTGGAAGGTACCAGCAGAATTCCAAGAGAAATGCTGAGGGCCTGGACTAAGACATGGAGAGGAGAGGAAAGGCCAGGCTCTGAGTTAGAATAGCAAGACTTTATGGAGTGCAAGGGCGGACGAGTCGGATGTGGTGATGTGCGCCTGTAGCTCCAGAACTTGGGAGGCTGACCCAGAAGGGTTGTGAGTTCAAGGCTCTCCTGTCCCAAAAAAAAAAAAGTTGATAGAGATAAAAGTGGCTGATGTATATTGAGTGCACACTCTGCCAGGCAGTGTTTTGACCACTTAAGTCTTCCCAAGCAAGCTGTGAGACAGGTGGCTATTAATTACATCCTTTTTAAGTGTCCTTTTTAAGACAGGCAAACCAATGCACCGAGAACTGAAGTAACTTGCCTGCAGCCTGTGAGCAGTAGAACTTGCCTTTGAATCAGGCAGTTTGCCGTAGAGCCTGCTGTTAACCAAGCTCTTACTGCCTGTGGTCAGGGTTGACTCTCCCTTCTGTGTCCTGATAGTCTCTCCTGATCGACCCAGGTCTTTGTTGATGCCATGACTGATTTAGGGAACCCTGCAAAGGCAGGTTTGGAACATTGATTTGTTCATGCTGAGTGTGCTTGTTGAATGAGACTGAGACATAAGAGGTGGGGGCTAGTGGGTTTAATGAGGTCAAGAGGGGAAGGCAGATAAGTAGGAAGGCCATTATGGGATGTTGTGACAGAAACGGTGAACCCAGAATGCTTTGGAAGACAAGGAGAGGCGGCATGGTACAGATCCAGCTGGCCAGGGGACTCCATGGTGGAATTGCTGCCTTTGGGCCCAGGAGGATGCTCAGGCGTTAGTGAGGGAAGAACACTGAGGCCTGCCATCTGCTGACTGAGAAAGCTTGAAATCACTTCCTGGCATTTTAGCTAAGATAAAGCAGAGAAAGAGCTAGAGGCAGAGGGTGTTGAGGACAGAAGTGACCAGAACTGTGCCGTGAGTTGCACTGAATACAAGAGTGGCAGAGCAGAGACTGGGAATCTAGGAGCCCACCCAGACCTGGGCCATGCTGTGTTTATCTTGGTCATCTTAATGTCCAGCAGCTCTTCCTTACACTGTCCCTCTCTTCCTCTTCCAAAATAAAGAACTCTGCTTCTGTCCATGTGGATGTATTCTAGGCTCCATTCCTTCCTGGAAAGCTTCATTTGCATCTCACTCTAGTGCAACTGGCTAATCTGCATTCATTTGCTGACTTACTACTCCTTCTGTAGTGCTTCCTGCAGTTTGGCCCATTGTGTATTCCTGCCTTGTTTAGTGTGTCATGTTTTCATCCCTTAGCTCCCAATAAGAAAGTAATGTCTTTACATTCTTTTAGCTCAGCACAGTGACCCTCACATCACTGTTTTCAGCAAGGGTCTAAGATAGAGATTATGCGACCTTGTGGGGTTGGGGATCAAACCCACGGCTTCATTCATGCTAGGCAAGTGTTCTGTTGCTGAGTGATATCCCCGGGCCTATTGTAGGTAGTTTTAATAAAGCATCTATCAACTTCTCAAAGTTCTGTAGAGTATCACAAACAATTTAAGAATTGCAGCTGCGGAGTGGAGGAACTTGGGGTTATGAGTCAGACTGTGAGGTAGCAGGTATGTGGGATGAATAAGTCCAGACATGGATGAGTGAGGGCTGGGGCTCACTGGTAGGGAGCTTGCTTAACAGTTGTGAAACCTTGGTTCAATCCCCAGCACTGGAAAAAAAGTAAATGAAAGGTAAAATAAAGTACAGCATGAAGACAGTAGATAATAAGATTGCTCTGTTTTTGGGATTCCTACTAAATGAGTAGATTTTAGCTGCACTTGCAGGTGATATATGTGTTAATTTGTTCCACTGTAGAATCTTTTCACTATCCCTCTATTAAAAAGAAAAAGAAAAAAGAGCAGGGCACTGGTGGCTTACACCTGTAATCCTAGTTACTCAGGCGGCAGAGATCAGGAGGATCAAAGCCAGCCCCAGTAAATCTTTCTTGAGACCCTATCTTGAAAAAACCCATCACAGAAAAGGGCTGGTGGAGTGGCTCAAGGTCTAAGCCCTGAGTTCAAACACCAGTACTGCCAAAAAAAAAAAGATTTCCTCTAACCATTTTAATATTTGTTTTTGCCAAATTGTATAGAGTAGTTGCCTAGAGGACGGTGGTTTTTAAACTGGCTTTTGGTGGGGATGTACTCTCTTGCCTCTGACTTGTACAGTTTTGTTTTGTTCTGTTTCACGGTGCTGGCAATTGAACCAGGACCTCGCTTATGCTAGGGAAGTATTCCACAGCTGCCCTACATCCCAGTTACCTCCCAGACCCCTGTTTTGGTTCTTCGAGGCAAGGCTTGGTATGTAGCCCCAGCTGGACTGGAACTCAGGGTGTAGCCTGTGTTGGCCTCAAGCTTGCAATGCTCCTACTTTGGCCTCCCAAGTGCTAGAATTGCACTCATGTGCCATCATTCCCAGCTTGTTGGTTGACATGGTGTCTCACTTTTTGCCCAGGCTGGTTTTGAACTGTGCTTCTCCAGATCTCTGCCTCCCAAGTAGCTGGGATTATATGCATGTAAGCATGTACCCACTCTGCCCAGCTGCAGTGGGTTTTTTTGAGGAGGGGTAGGGCCTGCAGTCCATTTTGCTCTGGTTATTTTGAAGATGAGGTCTCACAAACTGTTTGCTCAGGCTATCCTCGAGCCACCATCCTCCTGATCTGAGCCTCCTAAAGAGCTAGGCACCAATGGTTTTGAAAGCTAATTTATAGTTAGTAATACTGTTTGTCTTGGAAGCATGAAAACGCAGTGACTGTGACTTCAGTTTTTGCACTTCAGAGTTCCCTGGACATCATACAGAGTATCGAAGATGATGCGCTTCTGGATGCCCGGCTTCTCCCACAGCCCTCTCTACAAACTCACTTTAGACCCAGATTCCATCCCCTTCCCACAGTCATCATGGCAAACATTCTCTTCTTCATACAGGTAAGTTGCCTGGACGAGGGGCGCCTACGAAGAGATGATGCCCCTGAAAATGTATCTGCTCTTCAGAGGGTGGGTGGGCTGTATCTACCATTAGCTGAAATGTACATGCTTTGTACTCAGACCTCTACTGCAGAGAATTTATCATAGATATGTTTGCACGCCATGAGGACATTGTTTAGTAGCAGTGTTGTCTGTCGTATTAAGAGACTAGAAACTACTTCCATCCAGAAGACATTTTCTGTCCCATCCATACAGAGGAACACTATGCAACGGTTAAAAGAAATGTGTTTATATGTATATAAACATAGACTAACCTTCATGATTGCACTGTGCAGTAAAACATAATCAGGTTTATAACACTGTGTATCATCTGTCCTGTGAGGTGTTTTTAAAATTGAAACGAGGCCTGGTGCATATACATGTGTTCAAGTATATAACAGAATATTCCCAGAGGCACTCACAGACCCTGTTAATGTTGGTTCCAGTGAAGTGGGAACTGAGGACATTGGTAAAAGTGGCACTAATAGCCGGGCACCAGTGGCTCACCCCTGTAATCCTAGCTACTCAGGAGACAGAGATCAGGAGGATCGCAGTTTGAAGCCATCTCTGGGCAAAACGAAAGTGAGACCCTATCTTGAAAATACCCAACATAGAAAAGGGCTGGGAGCATGACTCAAATGAGAGTGCCTACCAGGAAGCATGAGGTCCTGAGTTCAAACCCCAGTACCATGGAAAAAGAAAGTGGCACTGATATATTTTGTTTACTTTTTTGCTATCATGTTTGTTTTTACCATGTGCATGTATGACTTCTTCAATTACATATACACAGTAGACCCATGGCATCCACGAGTTCAGGGTTTTGAGGAGACCTCCTTTGAGGAAAAACCACACATGCTCAGGATGGGATTCAGTGCTGTGCTGCAGATGCTTGATTCATTTTCCTCATAATGCCACCCAACTTCTGCTAAGGCCTTTCAACATATCTAGAGTTTTCCCTTTATCCCTTAAATTGAGCACATTCACTTTTACTTTGTTCTTCAGGCACCACTTGCTTTGGAGAAGTCAGATTTTCACAAAATTACAGACAGGGAAGCACTTAGCAGATCTCATAACAATTTAAACACAACTGATGGTAACACAGGACTGAGAGCTTCTCTGCACCACTGAGCTGTGGAATGGCCACACAGGAATTCAAAATTTTTGTTTTTGAAATTTCTTTTTATTTCTATTTATGTATTTATTTTGACTACACTTGGTCAGAACTGCGTGTAATATATCTATGAATAAAGTGGGATTGCTGAACATTGATAAAGGAATTTATCCGTGTACCCATCCTGAAGTAATAGCATTCAGCAGAGAAATCAAGCAGAACAGTGCATAAGGTGTCACCCCGTGTTCGGTTTTCTGTTTTTTTTTCAGAGCTGGGCTTGAACCTAGATCCTTGTCCTGCTAGGCAAGCGTGCTGCCACTGATCTACACCCCAGGCTCCCATGTTCATATGATGATCAAATTACAAATATCTGGGGGTTTTAAGAACGCTTGTTGTGGCTGGCGGTGTGGCTGAAGTAATAGATCCCTGGCCTAGCGAGTTTAAGGACCTGAGTTCAAATCCCAGTACTACCAGTAAGTAAAGAAAAGAACACTTGTGAAAGGTCTTGTAGGTCTTGTTAGGGGTGGCACAGCTCAAAGTCTGTTAAATCATTTCCTGCATTTCTACTATGGCAGTGGAAAGTACTAGTGGTTAGCGTTGTTCTTTGCTGCAATGTGAATGGTCAAAGAGGGTCTGGTGCCTGCTGCTGGGTGAGTGTTTGGGGACAGTGGGGGAGGGGTCATTTGGCTCTGCTCCTCCAGCTCCTGACGGCAGGCCTGCCCTCCCATCTGTAGAGGCAGCCTGCTCCAGGGCATCTCCCAGGCACTCCTGCACTGGCATGCCCCTCATGGAGGCACACTGGGACACATTGAGGAGAGAAGTGACATCTGTTGTCCTTGTGGAAACCTCTAGTTGTGGCATAGGCACTGCCATGGCTTCCTGACCCCCAGGCCTCAGCTGAAACAATCCCTGCCTGGCACTAACGTGCAGACATGGCCTCCTGGCCCCTGAATGGTGGCCTCTTTTTCTGTTATATAATACAGTCTTTCTTTATATACAAAACACATACATCCATACACACATAGCATAAGAGCTGGGAATGTGCTCTGCTTAGCAAGCACAAAGCCTTGAGTTCAAACCCCAGTACCACCAAAACAAAAACAAAAACCTTTTTAATATTAAAGTGTATGCCTTTGATACTATATGATTGATTGTCTTAATTTTAGGACTGAGAAAATCTTAAGAAATGTTTCCAGGCACACATCTTATAAACCCAACTACATGGGAAGCTGGAGTTCAGGGACTAGGCAACATAGTAAGAGCCCATCTGTTAAAAAAAAAAAAAAAAAGCCGGGTATGGTGGTACATGCCTGTAGTCTCAACACTCAGCTGGTGAAGTGGCTCAAATGGTAGAGCACCTGCTCAGTAAGGGTGAGGCCCTAGGTTCAAACCCTAATATTGCTTAAAAAAAAAAAGTGACTAAATTTTGGGCTGAGGATGTAGCTCAGTGGTAGAGCATTTGTCTAGCATGCACAAGGCCCTGGGTTCGATCCTCAGTGCTGCCAAAAAAAAAAAGAACAAAAAAACCCAACACTCAGGAGGCTGAGTAAAGGGGATTTTAAGTGTGAGGCCAGCCTGGGCTACATAGTGAGACCCTGCCTCAAAAAATCAAAGGGTTCCTGAGTGTAGATCAAGTGATAGAGTGCTTACCTAGCATGTGTGAGGTCCTGTATTCAATCCTCAGTACAAAAAAAAGAAAGAGAAAGATCAGTGTTTTTACGTGATACTTTCCATAAAAATGGATCAGTGGTCTAGTGCAAACCATTACATCATAGAGACTGTTAGCTTTTACACTTTCTTCATCATGGTACATGGATCTTGAACTGCATAGCAAATATTACAACTCTTGACAAATCACTTTGACAAACCATCTGCAGATATGATTTGCATAGATTCATTCTCTGCTGTTGGATGCTTAGCAATGAATGCTAATGATGGCTTTCTAAGTTCTTCTTTATGTCTCCCTCTGTGCCTTTTGCCAGATTCATACAAATATGTACAAAGAGACTGACACACAAAGGCACATCCCCCTCTTAAAAAAAAAATTGGCCAGTATTGTATTTCTTACTCAGTGCTGAGGTGTATCTGGGACCTTATGCTTGGTAGACCACTGAGCCACATCCCAGGCCCTGTTTTTATTAAACTCTACAGACTGTTTCTCAAATGTCCCTATGTGTCAGGCTCTACTGGCAGGCTTGTGATCATTGGGCTGTACCCCCAAAGGATTCCAACTCAGTAGAACTAGGGTAGACCAAAAATTTGCATTTCTGTTAGGCATTTTTTTTATTTTTGGTGATACTGGTTTTTGAACTTTGGACCTTGCACTTGCTAGGCAGGCACTGTACCACTTGAGCCACTCCCCCAGCCCAAGAATTTGAGTTTCTTAGGAAGAAGCCAAACTCTGAGAACCACTGTCCTACATTTATTTCTTTTATTTTACTTATTTATTTTTTTGACAAGGCAAGTTGTTCTTTATTCAAAGTGGTACAAATGTAATAGAAATAAAATGAGCAAAAAAGAACCTGACCAGACACTTGTACAGCATATTCTCCTGGAATGTCCAATCATATCCTGCAACAGTGATTCAGCCCTCATTAGCCCACAGCTTCACTCACCTGCTTTCTTTTCTTTTTTTTTTTATTTCTTTTATTCATATGTGCATACAATGTTTGAGTCATTTCTCCCCCCTTCCCCCAGCTCCCTCCCTCTCCCCCCCACACTTACTTCTTTTAATCTTAACATATCATGGACATCTAACCAAACCAATATACAGAGATATAGTTAATTAATAGTTAACCATTATTTTTAATATATATTATTTTTTATAGTTAGTTATTATAGTTAATATACCAAACCAATACTCAGAGATATATTATATATATAATTTCATAGGTGTATAATACTCAATACCATGAGTGAGTGTATTTTTTTTTTTTGTGGTACTGGAGTTTGAACTCAGAGCCTCACATTTTATAGGTTCTACCACTTGAGCCACTCCATCAACCCTTTTTTTGTGTTGGGTATTTTTTTTTTTTTTTTGGAAGACCTGAGGTTTGAACTCAGGGCTTCCCATTCACAAAGCAGGTACTGTACTGGTTGAGCCACACCTCCAGTCCATTTTGCTCTGGTTATTTTGGAGATGGGAGTCTCTGAACTATTTGGTTAAACTGGCCTTGAACCGCAGTCCTCCCAGTCTCAGCCTCCCAAGTAGGTAGGATTACATGTGTGAGCCACAAGGGACCAGCTTACTGTGTTGAGTATTTTTGAGATGGGATCTCGATTTCATTTTGCCTGGGTCAGCCTCCAACCTCCATCCTCCTTTCTCTGCCTTCTGAACAGGTGTGAGTCACCAACACCCAGCAGTGAGTGTATCTTAATGTATTCAAGTATTTCACTATGTGTATGTGTGTTTTGGTTTTTGTTGGTGCTTTTTTGTTTGTTTGTTTTAGACATGGTCTCCTTGTAGTCCAGGAGGGCCTCAAATTCATGGTCCTCCTGCCTCTGCCTCTTGAAAGCTGGGGTTATAGACATGCCACACATCTGGCTTCACCTATTCCATGAATAGATACATATACATAGGCAGTTTTCAGTTTTTTGCAAATATAGGGAATACTAAATTATATCCATATGTACTAGATATTTGTGCTTTTACTTTTTGGGATAGAGCTCTTAGAATAGAACTTCTGGCTGAAGATTCTTCTTTTATTTCCCAAAAGCAATTCCCAGTCCAGTGTGAAAATGTGAAAGTATGTTTGCCTGCATTCTGGCTACAGTCATTTCAGTTTTTATCAGTCTAACTGGATACTTAAATTCTTATTTTCCTAAAACTTTTTCTTTTTTTTGAAATAGTCTCTGGGTAGCCCAAACTTGCCTCAAACTTGAGATCTTCCTGCCTTAGCCTCCTGCGTGCTGGGATTATAGGTGTACACCACCACTCCCAGATATCTAAACTTTTTTAAAACCATAATTTTATTATTTACCTTTGAAAAACTCTTTTTAATGAAGAGGTAGGCAAGAATTGGTTAATATCAACTAGTCATCTCTTTTAGATGGGATTTGGGGTAATTTTTATCTTGTAATTTTTGTCTAGCAAATTTTCTGCATTTTTTGTTTTTTGAGATAGTGTCTCAGTATATAGCCCAGGCTACCTTGAATGTCAATCCTCCTGCCTCAGCTTCCTTAGCGCTGGAATTACAGGTGTGCCTCAGCATGCCTGACTGCTAAAAATTTTATAATCTGTTAAAAGTTCTGTAACAGGGCTGGGGTTGTAGCTCAAGTGGTGGAGCATCTGCCTAGCAAGTGTGAGACTCTGAGTTCAAACTCCAGTATTTAAAAAAAAAGAAGAGGAAGTAGAAGGAAAGTTTTATAACAATGGCAAAAAGATGTGCCTAAACTCATGTACTAAAATAGGCTGACACAATCATGGGCAGAAAGGTCTTATTGGGGGTGGTTATTTCCTAATTCCATAGGTTGAATATTAATCTCTCCTCTTGCTCCTACAGGTTGTCTTTGTTACTTTAGCATTTTTAACAGGTGTGCTCTGTACATTGGATAATCCAAATGATGACAAGTGCCCAGGAAATTACACAAACCCACTGAAAGTTCAGACGGTCATAATCCTTGGAAAAGTTGTTCTGTGGATTCTACATTTACTCCTCGAGCGCTACATCCAGCATCACCACAGCAAGGCAAGAAACCGAGGCTACCACCGGATATACCGATCCACAAGGCATCTCAAAAGTCTCACCGTAATGATCCACTCCACGGGTAAGCCTTGTCTCTCAGCTCCTCTGTGGCTTGAGTGGCAGGAAGAACATGTGAGGCCAGGCATGGCATTCTGTGTCTGTAATCCAGCACGTGGGAGCCAGACAGGAGGATTCAGGAAGATCCTGTGTCAAATTCCACAAAGGAAGGAAGGAGGGAGGTGGGAAGTAGGGTTGATTTTATAATCACATACATTCTTATGTTCTTGTTTTTTGTGAGAGTGATGTGTGTTGTGGCTACTGTCTTAGAGCTTTTTCTTATATAAAGAGGCTTAATTTTCATTTGAAATGTGTATTTGTTATGGACATGATGTCAGTGTGCTTTTGTTAACAGTCTTTTCAGCTCAAGGAAATAGCAATGGTATTACAAACTGGGCACCTGTAATCCTATCTAGTCAGGTGGTAGAGATCAGGAGGATTATGGTTTGAAGCCATCCTGGGCAAATAGCTGGAGAGACCCTGTCTCTAAAATATCCAACACAAAACAGAGTAGAGCACCTGCCCTGCAAGCGTGAGACCCTGAGTTCAAACTCTAATACTGCCAAAAAAATAATAAAGAAAGGAAATGGTGTTGCTATTTGATATTTCTTAGGATAAGAAGAGGTTTTTTTTTTCTTTTTTATCTAAAGCTTAGTGTTTCTCTTGAAGTAGGAGATAGTGATGATAAGTTCTAGGAACGAGAACTGTTACCTAACAAGAAAGGAAAAAAAAAATGATCACAAGAAAACCCATATGTGTTGGTGGAGTGGCTCAAGCAGTAAGAGTTGCTGGCCAAGCAAACACAAGGCTATGAGTTCAAGACCCAGTGCCGCCAAAAAAAAAAAAAAATCACGAGAAAGGAGATACGTTGTCCAGAATGGAAACCTTGGGAAACCTCCTACCCTAATTTATGAGGTCCAGAGCAGGAGATGCACGCAAAGCCTGCAGTGCATGAGCTGCTTTTCTTTGTTGCTGCAGGCATGGCCACAGCTCCGTGGAATTAAACTGGACTTCTTTAGAGATTTTGGGCTTAGTGTCAGCTTCTGCCTTTTTAGAAGACCATTTTCAGTTTGAGTGTAGAGTAGATCTTTAAATATTCTGACTACAGATGAGAAATGCATTTTCCCCCAGAAAAACAACTCCACTGAGCTTACTTTTTGTTTTCTTCTGTGTTTTGTTCTGGTGTTATTCTTAATGGGCAGCCTACAAGCTCATCCATTTAGTGGAGCTGGCCGCCAGTGGCTCACACCTATAATCTAGCTACTTGGGAGGATTAAGTTTTGAGGCCAGACCAAGCAAATAGTTCATGAGACCCCCCATCTCCAAAATAACTAGAGTTAAACGGACTGGAAGTGTGACTTTGTGCTTATCTTTTGTATCAAGAAATAGAAGCAGAACTACTAAGCATTGTTTTCCTAATAACATATTTAGATAAACATGTTAAATGAGTTTAAGGAAATTCTGAGATAAGATTCTGTAGGATTTACTTCTGCCCCTAAACTTTGACTTTCTTCACATTTTTAAAAGGGTAAAGTGATTTGGGTGTCATGCCTATAATCGTTGCTACTTGAGAGATTGAGATGGGAGGATCAACAAAACAAAAAACCCTTGGATGAAAGCTGAGAGAGATAGTACATACCTGTAATCCCAGCTCTCAAGAGACTAAGGCGGGAGGATAGAAAGTGCAAGGCCACCCTGGTCTACCCTGTCTCATGAAACACCCACAACAACAGTCAAACAAACAAAAAAACCTACAGAAATCAAGATCCTCCCAGGGCTCCATCCCACAGGACTCCTCCACTTGATCCTGACTGTGAGCCCTGGCCTTCTGGGTTTCTGATAACTGACTCTAAATCCTGGTTTCCCATGACCCTCTTCAAGGTTCCATAATTTGTTAGAGTGGCCACAGAAGTCAGGCAAACACTCTGTCAACAGGTTTATTACAAAAGATATAATCCAGAACACAGAGGAAGGTCTTTAGGGTGGGTCTGTAAGGAGCCCAAGAGCAGAGGCTTCTGTCTTAGAGTTTGAATACACCACCCTCCTGGCAACCTGAAAGTTCTAGAGTTTATAGAATTAGACCAGCCCTGTCCTAAGGCTAGGTGGAGGGTCCCAGCTAAGTTATCTCATTAGCATAAACTGAGATATGACCCAAAAGGGCTTGTTGTAAAAACAAAACACAATTCTATCACTTAGGAAATCCCCAGAGTTTCAGGAACTCTGTACAAAACCAAATTATAACCACAGGTGCTGGGAGCAGTCTTGTCAGCTCAATGCCTCAATGCCTCAGGAAACTACAAGGGCTTGGGGACCTCTGAGTCAGAAACCAGACAAGGACCAAGGTTATATTGGAGGAGCCCAAATACACATTTCTCATTTCACTCAGCATTTCACGTTTCTTTGCAGGCAATGCCATACTTCTCCTGGTGTTGTGCATACAGCATTCTTTCCCAGACTTCAGCACTGTGTACCTTGTCCTCATTCTGGCCACCCTGGTCCTGGAACTGATCTGTTTCCTGGCCTGGCTGCTCCCGTATGCAGGTGAGAATTACCGCTGACTTAAGGCCTTGCCCTGCTTCCCTTCCTCTCAGTTTGACAGGGAGTCCATTACTTTAGCGACCAGTAAGTTTTCCTGTTTAGCTGAGAACCTGTTCAGCACCTGTATCTTTCATTGTTGACCAGATTTGTCTAATTTCAAACCATCAGGAAAATAAAACCACTGCCAGGGATTCCCTTTTCTGTGTGTCTTAAATAAATTCGATCAACTAAAGTGAAGCCTTTTAACAAAAATAAACAAAAAACCTCACAAATTTTGCTTCCCCAAAAGCAACTGAAATGTAAATTCAGCATTTAAATTAAAAACAAAACCAGGCATGGTCGTGCACACCTGTAATCATAGCACTCTAGAGGCTTGAAGCAAGAGGATTGCAAGTTTGAGGCCAGACTGGGCTACTCATTGGGACCCTATTAGTAAACCAATAATAATTAAATTAAATGAAACAAACCCATTTTTAAAAATACAAAATAAGTAAATATCAAAACTAGACAAAAATTGCATTTAGCTCTCTATTTCTGAAATGTACCAGTAGTAAAATTAAGCAGGCTTTAGATACATTAAAAGCAAAACAGTATTGGAGGACCCTTTAACAGAAACAGTTTAACTGGGCATGGTGCTACACTTTTGTAATCCTAGCACATGGGAGACAAAAACAGAAGGATTGTGAGTTTGAGGCCAGACTAGGCTATTTAACAAATTCCAGGCCAACCTGTGTTACCTGATGTGAGACCCTGCTTCAAAAGAGAAAAAAGAAATTGATGCATCTAGATTTCACTCTTGCTCCAGTATTAACAGGCAGTCACATCTCTCTATTGATAGCAGCTAACTTATAGGCATTGAACTGACAAGTTGTTTTGTGACAGAAGCCCATTTTGAAAAAATGATTTCTCTATCAAGGAAGAAGTCATGTGGGCCTGAGGGAAAGGCATTTAAAACAGGAATGGAGTGACTGGTTTGTAAATATGAGGTAACTTTCTCTATGGATGAGGAGGATCCTGGGGTTTGAACTCAGGGCCTCACTTACTGGATAGAAGCTCTACCACTTAAGCTACATCTCTAGCCTTGAGGTCACATTCTTAATGAGTTTATAAGTTGATCTGTATTTATCAGCTAGCTATTAGCCCAGCTAAGTATAAGATTATATTTGTACCTTACCCTTAAAAAAGAAAAAAATATGGGGAATACCTAGTTAACTTTTACAGAACAGAAGGAGACCCTAGCTTTTAAACTAAGAGTATTTTTCAGCTTTAAGAAGCAGCTCAGTTAGGTCAGTGACCTGTTTCGTGAGTGCATGTTGATCATTCCTGTTGACTGAGATAATTTCTGTTCTATGATGTCTGTTCAGTGCTGTAAATGGGGTCAGCAGGTTATGCTTGAGCATAGAATTGAACAGCCTGTTAATTAGCTAATTGATTAACTTATTTTTGTGGCACCAGGACCTCTTACATGCTTTGCAAGCACTCCATCCCTGAGCTACACTGCAGCCCCACAGGCAGACTTTTTGTAATGGATTCTAGGCTGTCATAGGGGAGATTGAGAGAGTGACTTCTAGGGACATGCTGCTTTGACCAGTATGTCATAGAAAATTTAAGGTTGGTTCCCTGACATGTGTACTTGTCTGTCGATACGATACGGTTTGATGTACTAATTCTAACCTAAACTTGGCTAATTTATTTGCATTGTAGGAGGTAGTTTATCTCTAAAAAAGAAAAGGGCATCTTCTCACTGAACATTGATTTTTTGGCTTACCATGCAAAGGACTTCTGAAAGATTCTTGTTCTTTCCGAAAACTGCATGCATCCAATTTATTTTCAAAACTACAAAGATGAATCTGAAAGGTGGATATTTTTATTTTGTCATATTATGGGTACAGTTTTTATTTCTGACTGAGTTTTTACTTTATAACTATTTGCTTGTTCCTTCTTCCCCAGTTCAAGAACCTTCTGTGTCTAAGAGATGAAATGTTCCAAAAGCTGAGCACTGGTGGTTGATTGCAATCCTAGCTACTCAGGGGGCACAAATCAGGAGGATAGTGGTTCAAAGCCAGCTCCGGAAAATAGTTCTTGAGACCCTATGTCAAATACCCAATATAAAACAGGGCTGGCAGAGTGGCTTAAGTGGTAGAGTGCCTGCCTTGCAAGCATTTAGCCCTGAGTTCAAATCCCATTATCACCAAAAAGAAAGAGATGAACATGTTCCAAGTTTCTTCATTTATTTAGACATTATAAACTAGGTGTGGTAGCCTACCCTATAATCCCACCACTCAGGAATCTGAGCATAATCATGAGTTTGAGATCAGCCTGACTACATAGTGAGGTCCTGTCTAGAGAGAGAACATTGGGCCCAGTGGCTCATGCCTGTAATCCTGGCTATTCAGGAGGATCAAAGTTGGAGGCTGGCCCAGAGAGAAAAACCCATGTCAACCAACAAAATCTGACTGTGAAAAGAGAGAGATGGGCTGAGAGAGAGAGGGAGGGAGGAAGGAAGGGAGGGAGGATTTCTAGGGTGGGACACCATTTTAGGAAAATAAGATTTTAGAAGAATAAGATATGAACACATAAACAACTGCATGTTGGGCACAATTGGCCACTCTGTCCTTAAAATACATACTGTGTTCTCTTGGCTTCCTATCTGCCTCTCTGGCTGCCCTGTTTTATCCTCCTTGGCTGAATGTTTTCCCAGACCTATCAGCAATGAAGCCTCATGGTCTCTGTTTTCTCTAGCCTAACAGCTGCAGGACCCCATGCTTTGTGCCCAGTTCCATTTGAAGTCTTAAAGTACTTCTTATTTCTGACTTTCCTGGTCAGTAGATGAAAGTCAGGGACTTCTGTGTATTTCCACACTTTGTTCTGTTGCACTGTACTGCCTACTTCTTTCCTGGTCCTTTCTGGGAACGCTCTGCAAATCCCCTAATCTCTTTACCTTACTCTTTATCTCTAAACTTAAGCTCTTCAGCCTAGCTTTCAGCTGAGGTTCACATAGGATTCATCAGAATCATATATGGAAGCTGGCAGTTTCCCCTAAAGGGAGCACAGGGTTTCCCTGTGGTCAGCCTTTAGTATTAGGTATATATCCAAGTGATCTGGAGTCATAGGTCTACACAGAAACATGAGCATACGTATTCAAGGCAGTGTTATTCATAATGGCCAAAAAATAGACACAACTTAAATGTTGTTAGGGTAAAGTGATAAAGAAATGGACAAAATGCATTCTACCCGCACGAGGGAATATTACCCTTTCACAGAAAGGAGTACATACATGGAACGAGTGTGCACATAGATCCTGTAACTTGAAACTTACCTGACGTGGAAGAAGCCTCTCACAAGTAGTGTCAGTGGCAGGAACTTTGAGGTCTTGAGACCTAGATTAGAAGCCTAGCTAAAAGGCTTCACTTTACTTGTTTGTGTATAAAATCAGAGTAAAACAGCACCTGCTCATGGGCTGGTTGTGAGAACTGAATGAGGTCATTCAACTGAAATAGTCAAGCCAGGCACTGGTGGTGCACGCCTGTAGTACTAACTACTTGGGAGGCAGAGATCAGGAAATCATGGTTTGAAGCCAGCCAGAGGAAGTAATTCTCAACACCCTTTCTCCAAAAAACCCAGCACAAAACAGCACTGGCAGAATGGCTCAGGAGGAAGAACTTACCTACCAAATGTGAAGCCCTGAGTTCAAACCCCAATACTACCAAAAAAAAAAAAATTAAATAGTCAAGCTGTGTCTCCTGTGTTGCAGGCACAATAAATTCCAGCTGCTATTATTATTATCTGTCTAGTGACAATAACCTCGGTACCCCCCGGGTTTGGTACTGGTGTACCAACTTTGAAATGCCTGAAGTATACCTATGAACACACCTGTTTATTCACTTCATGAAGCAATTTCCTGCCTATTAATTTATTTGAAAGGAGCAGCCAATGAATGTAATTTGAATAAATAAAAATGGGAATTTGTCCAGAATTAAATAATCTGACTAATAATGACTTTATTATTTTAGTGAAAATTGGAAGGTTTAATAGAGCCAAACCACAGCCAGATGTACTTGAAGAAGAAAAGCTCTATGCTTACCCCAGCAGTATTACCTCAGAGACTGGATTCAGGTAAGGTTTAGGTGGGGAATAAATTAGACTGGAGAAAGAGAATTAACATTTTTTCCTGTCAGGTGTGGTGGTCCACACTTGTTATCCCATCTACTTCAGAGGCTGAGAAAAGAGGATCGCAAGTTCACGTTGACTTAACAAGCCTTTGTCCCAAAGTAGATCTTTTTTAAAAGGGCTGGGAATGTAGTTCAGTGGTAGAGCACTTGCCTATCATGAACAAGTTTTGGGTTCAATCCCCAGTACTACCAAAAAAAAAAATCAGGATATGAGTTCAAAGCCATCCTGGACTCCATAGTGAAACCTGTCTCAAAAGAAGTAGAAAGACTGAGACCCAGCCCAAGTCGTAGAGCACCTGCCTAGCAAGTGCGATGCTGAGTTCAAACCCCGTACAACCAAAAAAAGTCTGTACGTGAAATATGATAGTAGACCCCTACATGGCTTAACTGTGGATAATGTTTAGTTAGTGATAATGTAGATTCTAAATAGTGATTTTTTTAAACCCAGAATTGTAATATATTAATTACTGGATTGAAAAAATACAAGAAAGGGGACATGAGTGTGTATATGTGTGAAGTTGAGGAAAATCACAACAAAACCAACTAAATCTAAATATCTTGTAGGAAGTCTGGAGGATAGCTAATAAAGTTTGGGGGGAAAAAAGAATGTAATCTTGTTCGTTATAAATGTGGAGATAAATACAGAAGAAACAACTTTAAAAAGTGTTGAAAGTGAGAATTAAGTGGTTATATGTCAGCTCTCCAGACATGGCTCTTTTTGTTGCAGGGTTTTGTTTTGTTTTTGGCGGTACTGAGGTTTGAACTCATGGCCTGGCGAATGCTAGGCAGGTGCTCACCACTTGAATTACATCCCCCAGTCCAAGAGTTAAATGGTTATAAAGAAAGAAATTGACCCCATAAGTAAGTTGATGACTCCCAAACCCGTATCTCCAACTGTGAATTTGCTCTGGGGCTCATATTTCTGTCTTACTGCTCATTATCCATCAGCATCACCCTTGGATATCTAAGGTAGGTGCCTCAAACTTAACACATACAGTATGGGGCCTTCTCCCTACCCAATCTATCCATTCCCCTACTTCTGTAAGTGGCATCACCATTCAACAGGTTGCTCAAGCCAAAAAATGAGTCTCATCCTTGACTCCTTCACCACACCCTCATCCAGTCAGTAATCCATCAGCAAATCCATTGAGTCTTTCTCCCAAATATCTACAGTCCTGCTCACCGCTTCCACTGTCATAAACATCTCTTTCCAGGGTATGCAAGAGTCTCCTTACTCACCTCCCCACTCCCATGTCTACCTAGGACAGTGACCTCTACTTTGCCAAATACCATATGACTGACTCTTAGTCTTGTACTTCCCTCTCTGGCGGTGGGTCTAGGAAGGTCTTGGCTTTTTGTTGAAATACTTTCTTACTGGGCTCTGGTACAATGCTGTCATGACTTAGTTGTCATCTACCTCCTTTTGGTTTTGCTCTTCTTCCCTTTTCAGATTCCTCAAGGTAGCTGTGCCTAAAGCTTAGGCCATGATCTCTTTTCGTCGTTATGTGGATCATGTCTGCATTTGGGTCTAGGATATAAGGCAAGGGTGTAGGAAGGTGAATATGGTGAAAAATATTATGTACATATGTATGGAAATGGAAAAATGAGACCTTTTGAAACTATTCCAGGAATGTGGGGAGAGGGATAAAGGAGAATGATGGAGGGAGTGAATTCAACTATGATGTATTGTAAGAACATTAGTAAATGTTACAATGTACCCCCAGTATAACAATAATAAAAACAAAAATAAATAAACACTGGATCTAAGTAATATGGAACACTGTTTAGTTCTTAATACTATCTAAACCAAGCTGGGCATGGTGGTACACACCTGCAATCCCAGTACTAGGGAGGCTGAGGCATGAGGATCTAAGGTTGGAGGCCAGCCTGAGCCACATAGCTAGACCCTGTCTCAAAAAAAATTAATAAATACATAAAGCCAATTAAGATCTTTAAATTAAAAAAAATACCATCTGAGGTTATTACAGGTGTGGTTTCATATCTGTAATCCCAGCTATGCAAAAGGTGTAAGTAGGATGATCATGGTCCAAGGCCAGCCCGGGCAAAACACACAAGACTATTAGAAAAATAACAAGCAAAAGGGGCTGGTGGTATGGCAAGTCAGAATTGGATGGTAATTGATATGGGACTCACATGGAAGCATGTTGTTTAGGGACCTCATAAATTGATGCAGTGCTGATACTAGTTTAAAAATATAACCCAAAACCCTTCATAAAGCAGTGTTTTTTCAGTGAGTAGCCTAACTTGGGGGAAAGAAGATAGGGTGGGGTGTTTTGCCCGTGTTAAGTGCTAAATTTTTGCTATATTGAATCTAAGGCTAGAGAGTTTAGGTAACTTCCTAAGGTCATGAAGCCTGTGGAGTGGTAGAGTCAGGAATGGGGTTTAGACTTTTTTTCCCAGAGCTTAAGGCCGTCCCCACATTGATCATCAGTGTGAACCTTTGCTGTTCACATGGTACATAATTGTGTGCATAGTACTGCCATTATTCCCAATCCTAAAACTAGTGAAAGGAAACTCAAACACTTGAGGGCCATTACTTACCAGCAGTTGTGTGAGGAGTTATGTCTGTTTTTTATTTTATACCCTTCTGTGCTGTTTTTACTTTGTGCGACATGCAAAAAGAAAAAAAAAAGCCACGAATCTACAGAAATGTTTCTCATGGTTAAAGTTGTCTGTTTTAATCCTAAATTATCAATTAATTAGGGAGCAAAGTTTGTCTTGTCTCTTCAAATGCCATTTATTTATTTATGTATTTATTTTTGGTGGTGCTGGAGGTTGAACTCAGGGCCTCATGCTTGCTAGGCAGGCACTCTACCACTGGAGCCACTCCACCAGCCCTGTTTTATTTTGGGTATTTTCAAGATAGTGTCTCAAACTATATGCCCTGGCTGGCTTCAAACCATGATCTTCTTGATCTCTGACTCCTCGGTAAATAGGATTACAGGTGCCCAGCTTTCAGATGTCATTAAATCAATCACTTAGATTCATGAGTGGTCATACACTAACAAATTAGGACGCTTCTTAAATAAAGTGATAATGGCCTTGTTTAAGTTTTTAAGTCATGAAAGTTTTTAAAGTTTCAAATTGAAATGTATAAAATAGGTGTTCTTTAAGAGTAAAAGTCAATCTGGGTGCTCTTGGCTCATGCTATAATCCTAGCCATTTGTGAGGTTGAGATCAGGAGGATTGAGATTCAAGGCCAGCCCAGGCAAATAGTTCACAAGACCCTATCTCCCAGATAACCAGAGCAAAATAGACGTATTGGTGACTACCTGTGACCTGTTCCTATCTTGATTTGTGCAGGTCTATTTCAAGCCTGGAAGAAATTGTTGAAAAGCAAGGAGACATAATAGTGTATCTGAAGCGACACAACGCCCTGTTGAGTAAGAGGTTGCTGGCGCTCACCTGCTCCGACCTAGGCTCACAGGCGTGAGCACAGCTCCTGAGTTCAGAGTGACTTCAGACTAACTGATCGCCTGCCGAGCTGCCCCAGGGACATGCAGCCTTTGCTGAGTAGCCTTTTGTGTCGGGGGCCTGAACTTGATTCTCAATCTGTGTGGCTCTTCAGAAGGTGGGGCTTGTGGATCACTGGAAAAGCTTTGTAGAAGCCTTGAGGCTTCATAGATGACTTGAGGAGAATGTCTGTTTTGTACATTTTTAAATAATTTAACTCTTGGGTTTTCCTAGGATCAAAAGTACGGTTTAAGAACCCTGTAATAATTTGGCTCTTTGTGAAAAAAATATAATAATAATTTGGCTCTCTGTAACGGAAGTCTCACATGACCATCTATTTTAAATAGGGTTTTAAACAAATAAATTCCACTATTAAACGGATGAGAAAAATCATTTTTGCTTGTGGTTAATGTTTCTGCACAGCCTTAAGGGGCATGTCATATGCTCGTGTGGTACTGTATGAAGCTGAGGCCATAGAGCTTTTTATCCCCTTCAGTGTGGGGCTTGATCCAGGGTCCCGCCATGACAGCTTTGTAGAGTTCCTCACTGTAGGACCAAGATCTCACCAAGGAGTCACTGTGCAAACTCTGCAGTGTTCTGTTCTTCAGAAATGAGATAGGAAGATCACCAGAACCAATACGATTGATGCCTGTGATACTGCTAGCATATTCCATTGTCAAAAGCTGGAAACTTCAGAAAAGAACTTACACCTTTCTCTTTATTTTGCCCTTCAAGAAGTCGCCATGTGGCAGTGGCTCAAGTGGCAGAGTGCTGCCTAGCAAGCATGAGGCCCTGGGTTCAAACCTCAGCAACGCCAAAAAAAAAAAAAAAGCAACACACTGCCAGGGCCAGAGGCTCATGTCTGTAATCCTAACTACTTGGGAGCCTGAGATGGAGAGAATGGTGGTTCAAAGCCAGACTGGGCAAAAAGCAAGATCCTATTTCCAAAATAACCAGAGCTAAATGGGCTAGAGGCGTGGCTCAAGTGGTAGAGACCCTGCCTCTCAAGCTTGAAACCCTGAGTTCAAACCCCAGTACTACCAAAAAAAAAAGGGGGGGGGGAAGAGGTGTAAAAAAAAAGTTGCCATATATTTCTGCATTGATTACACCTTCATAGAATCAATAAGCTTATTTGTAGAAATGGAAACTTTGTGGCTTAAAATCTGTCTAAATATTTTAAAAGATTCTTGTCTTAGTATTGGAATATACTTGTAAGAATAAAATGTTATATATCAATTTATATAGCAATATTAAACATGTAATTTTTGTGTGTCTGTGTATGGTTGGGGACCAAACCCAGGGCCTTGCTGGGCAATTGCTCTACCATTGAGCTGCCTCCTCAGCCAGAATATACCTCATACTTTTGTTTTGGTTTGGTTTTGGGTTTTAAGACAGGCCAGGCTGGATTCAAACTCTGGATTCTCCAGCCTCAGCCTCCTGAGTGCTGGATTATAGGCATGTACCACCAACCCTGCCGTATCTTATTCTTGAGATAAAAATGAAGTATTTTTATGAGTAGAAGGCATTATTTCTCCATTTTCTCTGGAGTGCCCTTTTAATTTATCAGTTTTCTGTCAGCACCTTTATCCTACCTTAGGCTTTTCCTTTGCTTAATATGAGGAGAGGGGATATTTGTGATTGATCATGCAGGCTGTAGTCCTGAGATGATAATCAAATTTGATTTAAAAAGCTGTACATAATTGTATAGGTCTTTATTGGATATAACTAGACAGGCAAGGGATGCATTCCTTTGATCACATCTGTGGTTTCTTATGGCTGTAGCTATTTAACACGGTAGAAACCAGATGTGGTGACAGGAGGATCTTAAGTTTCCAGGTCAGGGCTGCAAAGTGAAACCCCATTTCAAAAAAAAACAAATCATGAAAAAAGTTTAACTTCTATGCTTTGTACTCAATCAAATGGTAAATGAGATTAATTATGTCCTTTTTTACAGAAGGGGCTTTTTCTATTGGAAAAGAAAAGTATGTCCTTTACAAGCCTGTCCATGCCATATATGTCAAGCGATCTCACAGTCTAGGCAGAAGTGCTTTTATAAATCTCAAAAGCAGTAACCATCTGATAATGTAGAGGAAGCAATGAAAATATGACAATACCGAATCTTAAAATCTCAGAATATTCCCTATGTTTCCTAAGGAAAACTTTCATTTAACATAAAGAACCTAGCTCGAGTCCCCTATTCTCTATTCAGCCTGGGTTTTCATCTTCTCCAAAAGAACCTGTCCTTGTCAAGGTTACCAGTAACTTACTTCCGCATCCCCACATTTGACTCTGGGTTATTTTCTTTTTATTCATTTGCTTGTGTGTGTGTGTGTGTGTGTGTGTGTGTGTGTGTTGTGATTTCATTTATTGAAGTTCAGAAACAGTTGTCTGTCATGCAAAAGATTTGATCCCCTGTGTATATGTCTGTAAAACAGGCTCGGGCTGTCAACTTGGGCTGTTCTCAAACTCCTAGGCTCAGGCGACCTTCCCACTGGCTCTGATTTTCTTCATTTTGGCATCCAGGACACCATCATGCCCCGGTTTTCATCCAAGAAGCCAGTGGGTTTTTTTTTTTTTTTTTTTTGTGGCACTGGGGTTTGAACTCAGGACCTCACACTTGCTAGGCAGGCACTCTTAACTGTTTGAGCCACTCTGCCAACTTTTTTTTGTGATAGGTTTTTTTGAGATAGGGTCTTGTGAACTGTTTGTCCTGACTGGCCTCGAACCTCAATCCTGATCTCTGCCTCCTGAGTAGCTAGGATTACAGACATGAAGCACTAGCACCCAGTCGCACTGGCTTCTTGTCCTGTCTACTTCACAGGCTCCTTTCCTTCTCAGTGTTGATGATCAGGGCTCAATGCCTGGGCTGCTTTTTTTTTTTTCCATCCACATTCACCCTCTTGGTGACTTTCACAGTCTCTTGGATTAATACAGTCTACAAGTTGACAACTTCCAAATATGTATCTCCCCAGTGTTCCTGCCTCAACTCTGTACTCATAAACCACCTGCCTTGCCTGCAGAAATAGCTCTGTCGGGAGAGTATTAGGCTGAAGATATAAACCACCTGCCTCTGAGATCTCTACTTGTGTATCTAAAAGTTGCCTTAAGGAACTACAGAAAAGGTCAGTTCGAGAAGAATCAACTTAGAATGTGACACACTTGTACATGGAAGCAATGGTAAGAATCTCTCTGTATAGCTATCCTTAACGAGCAAAAACACTTTGTCTTTCTTATTACTGTTTTTACAGTCTCTTCAACAAAATTAGAGATAAGGGCAGAATAGGTTCTGCCTGGAAGTGGGGGGAGGGAAAGAGAAATGACCCAAACATTTTATGCACATACGAATAAACAATAAATTAAACATAAATAAAAGTTGCCTTAAGTATAGCATAACCAAAACTGATCTATCCTTCCAGGCCTCCTCTGTCTTCCTAACGGTAGCTCCTCCTCCTCTCACACCCTACTCACTACAACCCACCAGCAAATCATGCTGACTTGCCTTTAAAATAGATCCAAAGGCCAGCCACTTCTCAGGACCCCTGAAGCCACTCCTCTGGCCACCACCTTCACCTACGGTATTGTAAGTTTTTTTAATTTGTTTTCCAGTGCTTGGGACCAAACCCAAGGCCCCATGCATGCTAGGCAAGCACTCTGTCACCAAGCTACATCCCTAGCCCTTGATCCTTTTTAAAGTGGTCTTTCTGATTCTAGTCACCAACTCCCACACGTAAACGAATGTGTCATTCTAATGGCTCCCTGTGACACTGAGTAAAAGCCTTAGGCACGATGATGGCAGTCAGGGCCCTGGAAAATCTCCTCCCACCTCCACTCCATTTTCTCCTCTGGCCTCAGTCATGCTGGTTTTGATTGCGAGCACATTCTCCACACAGGACCTCTGTACTTGTTCCCTTTGTCTGGAATGATCAGCTCCCATGTATGCTTTACCTCTGTCACGTCTGTGACAGTCACTTTCCCAGGGAGCCCTGCTCTAGACAGGATTGAAAACTGCAGCCTTAGTGCTGAGGATGTAGCTCAGCAGTAGAGCGCTTGCCAGGCCTGTGCAAGGACCTGCATTCCGTCTTCAACACCACGAATCAATCAGTCAAAACTATAGCTGGGCGTCAGTGGCTCACGCCTGGAAATCCTAACTACTCAGGAGGCAGAGATGGGGAGGATCATGGTTTGCAAATAGACTCTATCTTGAAAATACCCAACACACACACACACAAAAAAAGAGCTGGTGGAGTGGCTCAAGTGGTAGAGCACCTGCCTAGCAAGTGTGATGCCCTGAGTTCAAACCCCAGTACTACCTAAAGAAAAAACACTGCACTCTTGCTTGGTATGATGGTACGCCGCTATAATACCAGCACTTTGAAGACTGAGGCAAGAGGATCAAGAGTTCATGGCCAGGTCTGGGCTTCCTAGTGAGACCCTGTCTCAAAGTCTCTGGTACACTTAGCCCTTTCTATCTCCCTTGCTCTGCTGGGAGATAACCCCTCTCCCCCGTACTATATAATGTACTTATTTAGTTCTCTCCCCTGACTAGAATGTAAGCACTATTTTCTTCATATTATTTCCCTCAAAGCTAAAATACTGGCAAAGGCATTCAATGACTTCAAAATTAGAGTGGAAAATGACTCACACAATCTCAAAGCTCAAATCCAGCCTTGCCGGGCACAGGTGACTCACCTGTAATCCTAGCTACCCAGAAGGCAGACATTGGCAGGACCATGGTTCGAAGCCAGCCCAAGGCAAGTAGTTTTCATGACCGTATCTCGAAAATACCCAATACAAAACAGGGTTTGGGGAGGGCCCAAGTGATAAGAGTGCCTGCCTAGCAAGTGTGACGTACTAAGTTCAAGCCCAGTACCACCAAAAAGTTTTAAATTAAAAAAAAAAGGTAAAACAAATATCTCATAATCGGTTATCTACTGTTCTTGAAGTGTCCATCAATATAACTGGATAAAGGAGAAAGTCTTAATATCACATTTGGAATGATTATATATCTGGAGGGATTTTTTTTTCCAGAATCTGGAAATTTTAAAAATTATCAGAGAGCAGTAGTGAAGCCTGGTGCCAGTGGCTCAGGCCTGTAATCCCAGTTACTTGTGAGGCTGATATCGGGAGGATCAAGGTTTGAAGCCAGCCCAGGTAAATAGTTCATGAGACCCCTCCCACCTCCAAAATAAGGAAGGTGAATATAGTTGATGCACTTTTATCCTCGCAGTACTGGGGCCTACACCTTGAGCCACTCCACCAGCCCATTTTTGTGATGGGTTTTTGAGATAGGGTCTCAAGAACTATCTGCCCAGGCTGGCTTTGAACTTCAGTCCTCCTGATCTCTGCCTCCTGAGTAGCTAGGATTGCAGGCATAAGCCACCAGTGCCTGGCCTGTTGTACTTTCTATACAAGAATGAATACAGAATTTTTTAAACCTATTAAAATCACCCTAAGAGGACTAAGATAAAAAAGGAGAAAAAGTAGAGGGGATGAGATGAAACAATTCAGGTTATAATACATATGTACATGGAAATGTCACAATGAAACTCCCTGTACATTTTGTTTGTTCTTAAACAAAAATGTCTTTTTTTTTTTTTTTTTCACGAAAACCAACAACAGGAAGGCAAAACTGGTTCTGCCTGGGGGCTTGGTACCAGTGGGAGGGGGTAGGATGTAAGGAAAGGGTACAAGAGGGTGAATATGTGGAAATATTATGTACTCATGTGTGAAATGAAAAAATGACCTGTTGAAACCACTCCAGGAATGGGGGAGGATAATGAAGAATGAGGGAGGGGTGAATTCAACTGTGATAAGAATTTTTATAAATGTCAATGTACGCCCAGTTTAACGATATGACAATACAAGATTAAAAAAAAAAAAACAGAGCAAAATGGACTGGAGGCTTAGACCAAATGGTAGGAATGGCAGCTCTGTAATCTCCAAGTCCTGAGTTCAAACCCCAGGCCCACCAAAACAAAGCAAAAAAAAAGAAAAGAAAAGAAACGGAAAACTATAAAACCCAAACAAGAACCAGGGTTTTTGTTGTTGTCTTTGCTGGGCGGGGGTACACTGTGGCATTTACAAAAATTCTCACAATATATTGAATATATCATACTTGAATTCACTCCCTCCACCATTCTCCTTTATCCCTCCCTTCTACCTGTTTCTTTTAATTATATTTAACTGATAAAGGCATAAAAATTGTTCACATTCACTGAGTACAGTGTATACATTATACAATGTTTACATAAGGTTAAACATATCAAACATTTATCATTTTATTTGTTATTTCATTATGGTGAAAACATTCAAAATCCTTTCTTCTAGCATTTTGAAATATACAGTATATTATCATTATCTACCATCCCCCGACAGTGCAACAGCAGGCTACTCCAGTACTTCTTGCTATCTACTTCTTGCTATCTAACAGTAGATCTGTAAACATTCAACCTCTTCCCTTCCCCTATTTTAAGAGACAGTTTTAAGCTACCTCAAGACTGGAGTTCAAACTCCAGTACTACTCCCCACTTTGCTCCCCTCCCCCAAAAGAACAAATTTTAGCCAGGCATGGTGGTTCACAGCTGTAATCAATCCTACGTAGTTGGGAGGTTAAGCCGGGAGGATTACATGCAGGAGTCCTGCCTGGGCAATTTGGTGATCACCTCTCTGTCAAGTAAAAAAGGGCTGAGATGTTGTCTCAGTGGTGGAATGCTTGCCTGGCACATGAAAGGCCCTTGGGTTCAATCCCCAGGAACAAAGGTGGGAGAAAAATTTAAAATAATGGGAAAAGGGACCATTGATGGTTATGTATAAAAATATTCTCGAAACATTTTTTAACTTTCAATTTTTTAGAGCTCTGCTTCTATGAATCCAAGCTCCTTTTAATAAGTATTTTAAGATGTTTCTGAGATTATACAGGAACTAAAATATCTTCAAGTAGAAATTTTCAAGTTGGAGGAAAACACTATTAAATAAATGGAATTAGATCCTCCATACCACCTATAAGAAGTCCATTTCAAAGATTTAAAGTTTAAAACTAAGGGCTGGTGGAGTGGCTCAAGCATACAGCACTTGCCTAGCAAGCATGAAGCTGTCAGTTCAAACCCCAGTAGGGCAAGAAAAAAAAAAAAAAGTGAGATGGGGGTAGAACTGAGGTGGTATAAAATGTGCTTAGCATCCCCCCCAAATTGGTGAGGGGGGCGTTCACTCACTGTTTGTTTCTGCACGGATTTTAAGGGGTTCTGAATCAGGTCCTACATAGAAATAAGGCCGAAGAGGTCCAAAGAAAGTGTCCCTGAATGTGCAGATGTGAGACTTCTCGGGCATGCAGTAAAAGGACAGCTCCCCCAGCTCGTAGTCCAGGAACATGCCGACTCTTCTAGCTCTCACTTCCAGCTGCAGAGGGGCGGGATCAGCACCAGGGGCTTCATAGCCACTGTCGCGCAGCACGAGCCTCCAGCACCCCTGCGGGATCGATGAACGTCGGGCTCTTGAGGACAGGTAGCCTTTGCAGATGCCGATTGCCCACTCAGCCTTGTCCCCCACTTGCACCTCCCAGAAATGTCTTCCAGACTCAAAATCTGGGAAACCCAGAACAACAGGGTGGGCTGTAAACCTTTTTGAAAGATTAGAAACCTTTTGCTTTCTCTTTGAATATCTCACGCATGTTTTATTCTTGGACACAAGCAGGTTAGGATGGGCTGTTTCAGGATCTAGAATGACATCTTCATTAAATTCCCTTATAATTCTTTGCAGGGCAGAAAACTGGGGAGGAAAATTGCAGGCTTCTCTCCTTAAATGAACTGAAAAGATTGGTGGGCTAACCTCACTATCGGATTTCTTGTAGAAATGTTTAATTTCTGAGAGCAACTCCACTTCCGACAGCACCCTATGCTCTGCCACCTTGCTCAGCAGGCTTTTGAGTGTGTGAACATAGTTCGAAAAGTCTGCTATATTTTCTCTGAGTTTCTGTTCAATGTTTTTCTCTTCTGCTGCTAACCTGGAGAAAGCTGCCTGCTGTTCCTGTTCTAAAAATTGGTTCAGATATTTAAATTCAGACAATAATTTCTGCCTCTGCTTTTCTACCTTCTCTCTCAGCTCCAGGGGTTTCTTGTTTTGGATGGTTATTAATTGTTGAACACTTTGCAGCTGCTTCTTCAGGGGTTTGATGTAACTACGGAGCTTGACCCTGTGATGAGAGGCAGCCTTCTCAATGGTCATCACATGATGGAGCTGGTGATCAGAGAGCCTGGTGCACAGGGGACACAGCAGCTCCAGGTCCTCCTCACAGAAAAGGGTCAGGACCTCTTTGTGCTTCTCACACAGGTTTGTCTTTTCCTGCCTCTTCCTCTTACCCCTGCTGATGTGGAGTTGCTTGGCAATTTCGATCATTCTTCCCAGCTGGGTGTTGCTCCTGAAGTAGCCCTCTTCACAGGGGTGACGACAGACAGGACAAGGGAACATTTCCTGCAGATCTGCCCAGGTCTGTTGGATGCAGGAGCGACAGAAGTTGTGTCCACATTCAATGGTGACAGGGTCTGTCAGGTCATCCAGACAGATGGGACACTTGGATTCGGCCTGAAGTCTTGCCAAGGCTGCTGTCACCTCCATCTGGCTGAGAGTGAGGTGGCTTTCTTCAAGAAGGTTGGCTGTAGGCTTCTCTGCAGTGACAAGCAGATTGTCCTTAGATGTCACCGTACTTCCTGAAGACAGGGAGGGTCTCACTGAAGTCCCCTTGTTTTTCACAGTGGTGACAGCTGTTAAAATCCTTATTCTTCAATTCCAACTACCAAGAGGTCCTTTTGTGGGTCTGCAGCCAGACACAGCTCAGTTGGAAAGCTACTCTTCCAGCCTCTAGGAGTTCAGAGTCGCTGTAGGCAAGAAGAAATTTCTTAGGACAAAAAACAAACAAAAGCAAACAAACAAAAAGGCCCACCTGTTTACCTCACATGATCTTCCCACTATCATTCTAGTCAAAACTCAGACATCCTTACAAATGCCCCTGTGATTACCATGCTTGTATTATACCCACTTGGCACCACAGACACCCATGGTGATAGTTGGGGTGGCTGGGGCTGTAGGAAGGACACAGCTCTGGTGTGAACAGACACACAAGCTAGAATACAGCCTTGGTGAAATATCTCTGTAAGGTAACTTGGAGAGATTTACCTTATTGCCCAAACTTGTGGACGTTCTTGCAGTTGTTTTGGTGGTGCTAAAATCAAGCCCATGGCCTCCTGCATGCTAAGCAGCCACTGTCACCAAATCGCATTCCTAGCCAGTGGCTCCAAACTCTTGGAATCAGGTAAATAAGGTGAAAATCTCACTAAAACTTTTGTCAAGACAAATAGAAGACTTTTTTTTTTTTCAAACCTGTTGAAATCACCATAAGGAAACTAAGGTAGAAAGGAGAGAAATAGAAGGGATGAACCAATTTGGGTTATAATACATCTATACATGGAAATGCCACAAAGAAACTCCCTGTATCTTAAACAAAAATGTGTCTGTCAAAAACAGAGAACAGGAAGGGTAAAACAAGGTCATCTCTGGAGGCTGGTACTGGTGGGAGATGAGAGGACATAAGGGTGTAGGAGGGTGAATGAGGAAAATATTATGTACTCATGTTGAAAATGGAAAAATGAGACCTGTTTTTGCTAGTTGTGTTAAGGACAGCTATACAGAGAGATTCCTACTGTTGCTTTCCTGTACCCATGTGTAACCACCCATGTTGATTCAACTCTAACTCAGTGATCTTTACACTGGTTCCTGATCCCCTGCTCATGATAACCTCTCTCGTTTTAAGGTTTCTGTATTAGTTCCTCTGGAGTGGGGACATCAAACGCTTTCATGTTTTGGGTTTGCTACCTATTCCTATATCTCCTGTGTGTGCTCTCCCCTTGTCATGTGATCCAAGTCCAACCACATTGCTGTATTTGCCCTAGATCTAAAGTCTGCATTTGAGGGAGAACATATGATTTTTGGTCTTCTAAGCCTGGCTGACCTCACTCAGAATGTTCTCTAGTTCCATCCATTTATCTACAAATGATAAGATTTCATTCTTCTTCATGGCTGAGTAATTGTCTCCCTTATTATGCTTATGTCATTTCTTCAACAAAATTACTGATAAGGGCAGAACAGGACCTGCCTGGAACTGGGGGAGGAGGAGGGAAGGGTGGGGGAGAGAGGCAGGGTGGAGAAATGACCCAAACAATGTATGCACATGTGATTAAATGAAAAATAAAAAAAGACCTGTTGAGACTGTTACAGGAATGTGGGGAGGGGAGATAAAGGAGAATGATGGAGGGGGTGAGTTCAACTGTAAGAACTTTTGTAAATAAATGTATCCCCAGTATAATTTCCTAAATTATATAGGAAAAAAATGAGATTAAAACCCCTCCTCAGGAAAAGTAAATAAAAATTACACTTAATAAAAAAGCAGGGCGGGGTAGAGAGGGCCTGGAAGTGGCTCAAGTGGTAGAGCACCTGCCTAGCAAGCGTGAGTCCAAAACCCCAATACCACAAAAGATGACTACAGAATTTATGGGAAAACGCTATCCATTTTTGAGCTTAATAAAGTCAGGTGTTTCTGGTTTGGGGAGGGGTGTGGCTAAGTGGGCGTGTGCTTGCCTAGCAAGATCAGAAACCCACTCCCAGCATAAAAAAAAAAAATTAAAAAAAAAAATGGGTTGGGAGCTGGAGTTATTGCCACTAAAAGGATATATTCCAAGAACATAAAATAGCTGATGCTGTAGTTCAGCAGCAGAGTGTGTGCCTCCCATGCCTGAGCACCCGGGTTCAAGTCCCACCCCTGCAGCAAACCCAACAAAACAATAATAATATAATAAAAGTGGTTTTCCCAGCAGTTTAAAAAAAAAGAGAACGTAAAATAAATAGACAGAAACTGAACACACCTCCAATGTAGAAAAAGGAGCACAGAAGCCCACATTTATGGAAAGGCACAGAACAATAATGGTCTAAAAATTTCTAATTCTGAACTCTGAACTGGGAGGTAGCTCAGTGGCAGAGCACTTGTCTATCATGTGCGAGGCCAGCCCAGCAGCAAAGGGGACAAGAGGGTTGGCAGGTTGTTCAAGCGGTAGAGCACCAGCCTAGCAAGTGTTAAGTCCTGAGTTCAAACCCCACAAAAGTAAAAATTAAAAGAATTGGAAGTTCTTAGAAAATTTAAATTACCCTTTGGTGCTCATAGTATTGGTATTATTGAAAAACTGGCAATATACTGTTTTGAGGTTTTTGAAGTAGAAGTTTCCCTGTAGAAATAAAGTCTCTTTTCCTCACCCTTTTTATTTTTTATTTATTTACTTACTGGTGGTACTGGAGTTTGAACTCAGGACTTCATGCTTGTTAGACAGGCGTTCTACCACTTGAGCCACACCAGCCCCCCTTTTTAGAAAGGGGTGTTTCAGTATCCACCCAGAATTACAGGCTTTGCCCTGTAGCATCACAACATTAATATTCCAAGACTGTATGAAAAATGGTCTCTTCAGCATTGGTTTGAACTTCAAAAAAAAAGAAACTCTTCCAAATTAAATGTATACTCCTCTGACTCCAGGAAGTCTGCACAAAACTGGCTCAGAGTTCAACAAAACCCAAGTTCTGCCTCCTCCCTTAACTCCTCCTCTTCCTTCCAATGTCACATGTCCCCAGGGCCTCCTGATCTATTTCTAGGCTTACACCTCCTGGGTCTTCCCCACTAACCACCAAACAGTAACCTTCTGTCTCACTATTAGATTCTTAAGCAACCAGCTGGAGGCCTGTCACCTAATAGGCACTGATTGAATCTTAAATATTTGCTGAGTTCGATTTTCAGTGTTCCCTTATAAGGTGTGTGACCTTGGATGAGCTACTGGCCTCTCTGGATCTTAGTCTGTCCCCTGTGAGCAAGCTAACGAGTTATATAAATCCCTCAAGAACCCAAGCACTAGGGTTATTAGCACCCAGTATAGGGGTTCTAAATCCTGCCTCTCCATCACCTCTGAACACAAGCCATTCCTCACCTCAACATCCTAGAAGAAGACCCCACACTCACCCTCAGATCAGACACAGGTAACAGTCCATTTCCAAGGACAAAGTAAACTCTCTTTAGCAAGCATCCAGGTGACTTTGGGACAAGGCTGTTATAGGGACCAGGAACCACAACCAAGGGCACAGGTTCTAAGTAGCCCAGGTTCCTTGGATTCCACTGAGCTCTAAGAGGTGAGATCTCGCCCTCAGACAAAGAAGGCGCTCAGGGGGCGCTGGTTTCAGCCTCCAGAACCCACTTAATCCCGGCTCCCCTTACCTGGAGCAGGTGGCCCTAGGCAGTCCACTGTCAGTAGAAAACGCCACACACTGAGCGGTAAATACGCATTTATGTGGAAATTGTGACTGTGAGGACTCCACCCAGCAAGATGGGGCACGCCTCCGGGGAGGGAAAGAGAGAGAGGTGGGGGCGGGTTCTTCTGTAAGGGATTTTTTTTTTTTTTTGGTGCTGGGGATCGAATGTAGGGCCTAGTGCATGCTTAGCGAGAGCTCTACCCCTGAGCTACACCTCAGCCCCCCAGATCCCCTTTCACACTCTACAAGGCATCTTCCCTTCTTAGCACCTTCAAGAAGTTAAATGTGGCTGGGCGCCCGGTGGCTCACGCCAATAATCCTAGCTACTCAGGAGGCAAAGGTCAGGAGGATCGGGTTCGAAGCCAGCCTGGTGAATAGTTCATGAGACCCAACTCGAAAATAACCTTTCACAAAAAAGGGCTGCTGGAGTGGCTCAAGGTGAAGGCCCTCAGTTTAGGCCCCAGTACCGGAAAAAACAAAAACAAAAACAAAGACGTCAGGTGTGAGCAGCTTGGTTATTTCCTGATCATATCTTCTGATTGCAGCAATCTACTGGCGGCATCCGCTTGCCTTGCGAGCTGTCTTCCCCAGATTCACAAGTCCAAAACAGGACCTAGATTTTTCTGCTCTAGATTTCCCACGTACTGCCAGGAACCCGCTCCTCCCACCCCCACCCCCTCTTTTCCATCTCAGTCAGTGGAACTCTGTTTTGTTGCTAGGGCAAAATTCCTCAGGTACTAGGCATCTCTGATTTATCTCGTTCCTTCACTCCCCACCTAAATCACCAGCAAGTCCTGTTGTCTCCGCCTCCACAGTGTCCCTGAATTCTGGTATACCCTCTGCGAACACTCTTGGAAGCCCCTGCCCTGAGCTAGACTCTGACCTTTCCTCTCCTCCTCCTTCTAGGATAAGTGCTGTCAGGTGGGATGTTACTGCAGGGAGTGCATTTTGCTTCTACAGAGGCAGAAGGACACATTGAGGTCACTAGCCAAGGACAAACCCTGAGAAAGCAAGGACCCAAAGTAGTAAGGAGAGGAATGCCCACGTGCCAAAGAGCCTGGAGGGCAGGATCACATTCCTGAGGGAAGAGAAAGTTTAGAAGGAACTAAGGATAAATGAGAACCATTTCAGCGGAGTGCCCAGGTTGAGCCGGGCTGCCTCCAAGGTGGGAGCTATGAAAGAGAAACACCAATTACTGTTCTTCTAAGTAATTAGCCCAGGGCCTGAGATCAAAGTAAAATGGATTTGGGGTTTAATTTGCATCTCTGAAAGTAGGT